CTCTGCTGTTTCAGCACTTAGTAAATTGATATGGAGGATACTCCTGGATGAAAACTATCTTAACAATAAGAAATTTTCGTTTTTTCCATCTAATATTTATATTAGCTGTGGAGACCTGTTAAGGATATTATCAAGTGGCGGTTGGTAGCTCTCAGGGGCCCACAGTCACAGCCTGTCCTCTGTCCCAAGAGGATCTGATCTGCAGCCAACAGTTATGAAACTCAGCATATCCCATCTCAACCATGTTTGAGTTTAGCCCAGAGAAGTTGCACAGAGACCCATAAGCCAAATGTAATCATGCTTTCAAAGATTTGGGAAGAACTTGTTTTGTATCACAGCGTTACAGCCTGGCATTGGAGCTACCATGTTCTGGTTGTGAGGTTTCTCCTGTCCATACTCAGTAGCAGTCCAGCCAGCAAATGCCATGTTGGGAATTGCTAGCAGAGACAGAGAACAAAACAGAGCATCTCCTTAGACTTGTGAATACATAGTTCACCTGTATCTTCGATAACTGCTCCACTCACCCCAAAAAGACAGAGACAAATTGGAAAAAATGTAACAAGAATGCATTACAGCCACATCTCCATTTCACAGAAAACAATGTACCATTTTGAAAGTGTCTGAAACCTTGATATGGAAAACACAGGGAAAAATACCTGAGGAAAACATGGAAATGGATAGGGTTGAAAATGTCACAAAATGAAACTACTGTAGTTAACATCACAACTGAACCACTCTGCTTTTATTTTGAAATATATGACCAAGGTACTGCAATTCATATGGGGTAAATGTTACTGGCAGTTTAAGGTTTCTGGTTTATAATAATGAAGATAATATTCTGTAAATAATTAAATATGTAGCTTTCAATTTATTATATTAAATGTGTCTCGTATGTGCTACCATTTTAAATTTAGAAAATTATATTCTTTTTTCTTCTAGGTTATACCAAACAATTTATCCTCAAGTGGGGAAATGTTAATATATTTCAGAATTGTTCTGCATTGTATCCAGGACGATTTTTTAAAAAAATGGAATGTGCAGGCAAGCATCAGTTTTCTTACTATAATCTCTCTATAATCAAACTTACAGTTTAGAGGGTCAGACATAATGGCTGGGAATCTTCTAGACTTGGGAAAGACAAAAAACCCAACTACCACAGTATCACTACTGGCAAAATGCTACAGCATCCACCATTATATACGTATTTATAAACAGAGTTCAGATGACAGTGTGCCAAGTTTCTCTAATTATGTAGACAAATTTCTGCATGTGAGTTGTGTTTTCTAGACACACAAGCACTTTACAGTGCACTGACCTTCCCACCTTTACTACATTTGATTCTGATTCAACAACATATTTAAGCAAATGCCTGTTCCAGAGTGCATTAGTAGCCCCATTGACTAGAATATAATTATTCATCTGCTTAGACATTTGCCACTAACACACTGTACCCTGGGAAAATATGATTAACTTTTCAAACTTAGATTAGTCTGGCCAGGAAACTAGTTGTCACTCCTAGTATTAAAACAAGGATTTTGAATACACATTTTTTGCTTCTCAACGAAAGGTATTGCCAAATACATGACTAAAAGAGCAATGAGTATTCAACTTACAGGGCAGATAGTTTCCAATGTTTGTCAAATCGAAAAGTAAAGGCAATATTTAAACAAACTCCTTAACAAGAAAATAAAAAACACATATAAAAGCCAAATAATTTATGATAAATTCAGCATGACACCTGTAAGATACTGGGTTTATTTACTGTGCAAGTTCTGTAACTTATCTTCTTTTTCTTCAATATATTTCAAGTGATCATCCTTTACCATGAGGTGACAAAGGCAGTATCACATGGGAGAAATTCAGAACAGGGGTACCTGGCATTAGCTTCCCCTCCCTGATGCAAATACAAACTTTGAAATTAAGGGCTAGTATCCACAGTAGCTAGTTATACATGAAAATATTAATTAAATAAAGGCACTAAAACCTTGTTTCATAGGATCAGTAATCCCAACTCTACAGAGTTCACATAACTCTTTCTCAGTAATGTAGAGATTCAAGAAAGAGGTTACATTTTTAAAAACTTGGAGACTCATGCTTGGTATGGGGTCCATCGTGCTAGGACAGCCTACCAAGCAGAAAAGTGTCATAAGGGAGTTAGAAATTAATAAACTTTTACTGAGTATATAGGAAAGATCATATTCTAGCTCTGTAGCAGCATTTCTGTTTATATCACATCTTTTACACTTATTCTTTTTTTCACAAGCACTGTATTTGCTGAATTGCAAACAAGTAGGTTTGTGAACGCTGAAACATAAGGAGAACTGAATCTACACACTTGTGCCTCAGGGCTGCTGTCTGGTGCTGCAAAAGGTCCACGCTGAGACCGAGATCTCGCAGTGAGGGCACTGTATTACAGACAGTTGCTCTCTCCCTCCCTTCCCACATTCATGTGCTTTCCTTCTCCTTCTTGTACCTGCTCACCCATTTTCATAAAGCTGGTAAATAAAATAAATGTGCAGATGAAACAGGACAATGAATGACTGAGTAGAGAGGACACCAAAGGCAGACACAGAGGTGTACACATATTACGGTATCTTAATTTCCAAAGGAATCAACCTAGAAATCTTTTTATCTTTTCCCTCCAGCTTTTGTTCCATTTTTATGGGCTACTTATTATGACACAATAGGCAATGTAGCTGAATTCTTCTCTTTGGCACGGGGTGAAACAAGTCTCACATGACTGACAACAAAGCAAATGAGGAGAATTTGGGCCGGCCACAAATGTAAAGAGAGATCCAGCACTTAAAAAGAAATGATAGACTGAAGAGGTTCAGAACCTCCTTTACTGGTGACCATTAGGCAAATATCTGTCAGGAAGTGACGTGCACCTGAAAATTCTCCTGAGCTCTGCTTTGTGCTCTAGCTTGTATATGAACTTATTTTTGCTTTATATTTCCTCTTTTGCTTCAGGTACTTATGATGGCTCCACAGACAGCTGCAAAGGTGATTCAGGAGGACCCTTGGTCTGTTATGATGCAGAAAATGTGGCGTATGTCTGGGGTGTTGTGAGTTGGGGTGAGAACTGTGGGGAGGCTGGTCACCCTGGCGTGTACACAAAGGTTGCCAGCTACTATGACTGGATTAGCCACCATGTGACACGGAGTCTCATTGCACGGTACAATATCTGAGCTTATATTCAATACTTCCTTCATATCACCCATGCAAAACCAAACACCAGTGCTTTTTCACGATCAGCAGTCATGTAACTTAGCAACAATTACTACAAATCTTTAAAGAATATATTTTGAAAATTCTTTACAGTCTACGAATAGCATAATTTTGCAGAGCCTGTAGGAAGAGAATTCTACAGACACAAGTCCACAGCAAAAGTCTCTAATAAAGAAGGATATTAAAATATCTTTTTCTTGTTGTTATTTTGGGTTCTTTTCCACTTTTCACATTGCATTTCAATTGCCGTTGTTTAATTAGCTAAAACTGACCATACTGGAAGCAGTGGTTGGAAAATGAGTGCACTGGCCTTATGTGAACTTACAAAAAGGACAGCAACCAGAGTACTTTAAAGGTCTTACATCATACTGGGGTCTAAGTCACTAGAAACCTTCTGCCTTGCTTGGAAGATTCTTTAGGCTTATTGTGGAAGTAGACTTCAGACCATCTATTAATCAAGAGATTGACTATGACCATGGGATTTGTTGCAATGCAACAATTACTCAAATAATAAATCTGCTTAGTGGTAGTTTTTTTTTCATCTACAGACTCAGACAATTTATATCTAGTTAATATATATCATCTGATCATCTAGCTTTGTAGCTCTGAGTTTTATTAATTTAACAGCTGGTCACAAAAAGCAGAAGAATTTTAAAACTTAAATCTTCAACTTAAATAAAAAGCATCTTTACTATCTTAAGTTCTCTGTGTATGTGTACATATATATATATATATATCAGGTATACAACAAAGTCTTAACACCAAATAGTTTTACTCTGTGTGTATATATATATATATTTATACACACACACAAATTTTATATAATATAAATATATAAAAAGTCAATATATTATATAGATATAATTCTACAAAAGCAAGTTACAGATCTAAAGTTAAAATCTTTGCTGTCATAAGGAAAACGTCAGTCTATACATAATACCCTCACAACCAGCAAGAGTTATATACAGAAAGTGTGTAATTTTAAAAGTATTAGAATTTGATTTATGGATTGGTATCCTTGACACAGAACTCAAATAGCTCCAGGACTATCTCAGCCAGTTGTATCAAACTGTTCAATAGTTTTAGAACATTCCTCACTGTATTCTAATTACAAATACTTTTAATATTTATTTTACTTTATTCAACTCCATTAATTATCCTGTCGAATTAATGGCATATGTTCACACAACACAGTTGTTCTGGTGGTGTTTTTTCTATAATTCAGCACAATCAGACAACGTTTTTACATTTTCACTGACTTTTCTTCGTCTTACAGTCTTGTAAAAACCCCACATCAGCATGAATTTGTCATGTAAATGCACTGTCAATCATCAATAACTAAAGAAAGGGTATTAATTGATTCTCTTCACATGCACACACACAAACACCCCCTCAACAAGGTTTCCTGTTTAGAAAAGCATTTAAGTATATTCCTACACAGGAATATACCACAGGGTCTTGGTAAAGTAATCATAGGAAAAAGCTGGACAGGTGTACAAAGAGCTCCCTCTTTTGTTTGACTTAATTAATTTCTGCAAAGAACTTTTTCAACCAATATCTTTAGTTAACGACAAATAATATTAAATGTTGAGGCTGAAAATAATAAAAAAAAAACAAACCAAAAACCAATAGAGTATGTATCCTTATACTCTGCCTGTTGATCTGAAAGTCTCTTGGTTTTCTTCCCATTTCCTGTTCTTTTTCACATTTAACTTTTGGCCAAATACTACTATTTTTTGAGGTCTTCTACACATCTTAAATCAGAGTTTTCATGGTTCCACTTCAACTCATCTGTGAAGCATCTAGAATTAAAATATAAAATTAATTAAAAAGAAATCCTCAGAACCAAACAGGATGTTCAGCAAGCAGGTTCATTTTGGTCTGTTTTTTTTTTTTTTCAGCAAATCAAGACTGGAGTTGTAATGTTTAATAGATATACTTTCATTTTGTTCTGTTTTACAACCCCGTCTTGCACTCTTGATGATGATGTTACCAGAAACTGAATCACTTGCATGTGGAAATGTCACCAGATCAGTTTCCTCCACATTGAACATCATCATAAACTTAGGTTAAAATTTTAACATTTCAAGCACATAGTCTTTAAAGCCTTTTTTCTTTTTTTTTTTTTTCTTCCCAAAGGGTCATGTTTTTCTAGCTGCTCTAATCCAAGTTCTCTCCGTGAGTACACAGAGGGACAGCAGTATGTGGGTCTGGGCACGCTGCTGCCAGAGGCAGCGTTTGCTCCAAGCCCCAACATGGCTGGCACAAAACCTTCCCTTTGACCCTACGCATGCAGGGTCACGAAGGCTGGCTCGAAAATCAGCCTTTCACAGAATCACAGAATCAACCAGGTTGGAAAAGACCTCTGAGATCATCGAGTCCAACATATGACCGAAAACCACCTTTGTCAACTAGGCCATAGCACTAATATGTCCAGTCTATCCTTAAACACCTCCAGGGACAGTGACTCCACCACCTCCCCGAGCAGCTCATTCCAATGTCTGATCACCCTTTCAGTGAAGAAATTCTCCCTGTGTCCAACATAAACCTCCCCTGGTGCAGCTTGAGGCCATTTCCTCTTGTCTTGCCACTGGCTGTCTGGGAGAAGAGTTGGATCCCCACCTTTCAGGTAGTTGGGAGAGCGATAACACCACCCTTGAGCCTCCTCTTCTCCACCTTTTCTCCAGGCTAAACACCCCCAGCTCCAGCAGCTGTTCCTCGTAAGACTAATGCTCCAATCCCTTCACCAGCTTCGTTGCCCTTCTCTGGAGGACTCTTGTTGTCTCTTTCACACTGAGCAAAGCCAAGTCCTCTACTTCTAACACAGGCATCAAATAAAGGTTTTCCCAAATAGCAGACTCCCGCGGTTCCCTACTACCGGATCGCACCGGTACCTCCCAGGGCCCTGCTCAGCCAGCGCCACGGTACCATACAAGCGCATCCAGCCACCTGCCCCTGGACAGCTTCGGAAAAGCTCCCCGCACTGCACACAGCCCACCCTGACCTTCCCCCCATGAAGCATACGACACTTCAGCGAGGCGGACGCTCGGCCGGCACCTCCTCCTGCCCTGGGACGGCGGATGAGGGAAGGCCCGCCCCGCGGGCGGTGCCCGTGGGACGGTGGCGGCGATGGCGGCGGTGGCCCCGGGCTGGGCCGGGCGGGCGGCGGAGGCGCCGTAGCGGGCGGGCGGGCGGCGGGGCGCGGCTCGGCATGGCCCGCGCCCTGCTGCTGCCGGGGCCGCCGCTCCTGCTGCTCCTGCTGGTGGCGGGCTGTGCCCTGCGGCCGGCGCGGGGCCAGGAGGCGCCGCAGACCCCCGACTGGAGGATGACGCTGAAGACCATCCGCAACGGGGTGCACAAGATCGACGTGTACCTCAACGCGGCCCTCGACCTGCTGGGCGGCGAGGACGGGCTCTGCCAGTACAAGTGCAGCGACGGTGAGCGGATGGGAAGGGGGAGAGAGAGTGACGGCGACCCTTGTCCCCGGTCGGAGCGGCCGGGGCTGCGGGGATGGGGCGGCAGCGCTCCCGCCGGCCCCGAGCGCCGCTCCCAAGGGAAGCCTCGCCAGCAAGTTCTTACCGGTGTCTGTATCTATAAATATATCTGTCAGCCTCAGCAAACATGTTCTTACGCTTGTGTATATGTTTAAATACATGTGTAACATATATAAAAACATATATACACGTAAGCAGTGCTCTCGGTGTGACTTTTAAATAGCGACGTTTGCGTTTGACAAACTGTCAAATATGTAGCTGATGTGTAGAGTAATAATGTGGAGGGGAAAGAATTGCTCCCTCCAAGGGTTATTTACGAACACTCCTGAGCATTTCAGTCTGGAACAGAAAAGCCTAACTCTGAGCTGTGGAATGCGCTGTTTCAGAGTCGCGTTTAAATAACAGCTTTTAATGGCAGCCACGTTTGCCGGCGGAAGGAATGCATCCTGCTGTTTGTAAATCTTGCTGCTACCAGCAGAGGACATCTGTGCTTCTTCCCTGCGTTTTAGCTGCCTAATTTGCCTAAAATCTAATTGAGGCAGCTCAAGTTGGCATGACCTGATAGATTATTATTAGGATATTACACTATTATTATATGAGACTATTATTATTAGGATAACCCTGCTTGAGCAGAGAGGTTGGACCAGATAACCCACTGTGGTCCCTTCCAACCTGACCTCTGTGATTCTGTGATAAACTGCCTGAAAGTGGCTCCCCAGCCATCCCGTCCCAAGGCCAGGCTTTTCACTGGTGCTCTCGAAATGGGAGGCTCACCGTAACCTGTGTCCATGGAATTGCTCACCCCCATTTTACTATGTTGGATTTGTTAAGTCAGGAAATGAGTTCGGTGGTGGCCCCCTGGCTGGCTCCACAAGAGTGGCTAGGACACTGTAACATTTCCTTGCTGTACTAGAATATGAACCTTTCAAATGTGTTTTTTCTTCTCCATCACTTTTAATTGTGGCCTCAGTTTGTTTCCAATACCAAAACAAGTTGGAGGGTCATTTTTCAAATTAACAGTTTTCCTTAACTTGCAACGCAGAATTCCTTGGCTTGCTGTACTAATGAGTATTCAGGGAGCTGGGACTTTAGCAGTCTCTACTAATTTAAATTGTATTAAGATTACAGCTGTAGAAATAAAAATGTTTTGTTCCAGTTAATTTTAAAGGTTAAGCTAAAAAAATCAGCACTACTGTTGATTGCGTATAAAGCATAGAAGTATTAATGAACTTGCAATGAAGTACTCTGTTCTTAAATATAATCCTACATATTGCATACTTAACTGACACAGCAATTTTAGTAACTTAAGCTCTTCCTCTTTTTTTTTTTTTAACTTTTGAAGCTAACATTGACACTTGCTCAGGTGACTTGTTTCCCCCTTTTTTAAAAAAATTGCCTACTACCCCAAAGTTGTAATTTGGAAAGGATTGTTGATATGTAGCTGCCTAAGTATATGTTTAAGTTAAAAATATGAGTGATACTGTCTTAAGCCCTACAAATGCCTGTGGTGAGTTTTAACAGTACAAAAATTACATGCAAAAAGTCTATTTGAGGCATGATAAATTACCTTTTTCAGGATCAAGGCCCGTTCCTCGCTATGGATATAAACCATCACCACCAAATGGCTGTGGATCCCCTCTATTTGGAGTTCAGGTAGGTACTTCCATTTTTGGACTTGTCTTTTATACATCAACTTTCCTCACCGTAGAGGACTTTTCCCCTCCTCCATTCCAAGAATGAGACAGCATCCATATACATATGGATCCATATACAATGTCCCTACTCTTATCAGCTCCAACACGTGCTCTGGTAACAACAGATGGAAAATGTTAGTATTGTAAATGAACATAGCGTAAACATTTTCAAATATTATAAGCATAAAATGTAACATTGATGATTAATTTTTCATGTTTTGATGTTTTATTTAGTGTTTTGTTCACGCAGTCTTGAAAGCGTTGAATAACCACAACTGTGAGAGTCAAAGGTTTGGCTCTGACTCTTGCTGTCCTTACTGACACTAATCCTTTTTCCTTAATGCTAGAAAGAAAATATGAGTTAGCTTATTCTCCTGCTTTTGGCTGGGATAGAGCTAATTTTCTTCTTCTTCATAGCTGGTGTAGTGTTGAGTTGCAGGTTCAGTATAAGAATAGTGTTGATAAAACACTGATGTTTTTGGCCTTTGCTCAGTAGTTCTTACCCTAAGCCAAGGACTTTCCAGTTTCCCATTCTCTGGCAGTGAGGAGGTGCACAAAAAGCTGGGAGGGAGCACAGCCAGGACACCTGACCTGAACTGGCCAAGGGGATATTTCACACGATAGAACATGATGCTCCGTATATAAACTGGGGGAAGTTGGCCAGGAGGGGCTGATTGCTGCTTGGGGACAGGCTGGGCATTGGTCAGTGAGTGGTGAGCAACTGTATGGTGCATCACTTGTCTGTCTTGGGTTTTGTTTCTCTTTCTCCTTTTCCTCCTCCTCATTATTATTGACTATATTTTACTTTCTTTCAATTATTAAACTGTCCTTATCTCAACCTCTGAGGGGTGTTTTTCTGATTCTCCTTCTCATCTTACTGGGGGCAGTGGGGGAGAGGCAGGAAGAGTGATCAAGCAGCAGCATGGTATTTAGTTGCTAGCTGGAGTTAAACCATAACCCTTGAGCACCATGTCTGGGTGGGATGGAGTTAACTTTCTTCATAGCAGGCTGCATGGCACTGTGTTTGGGATTTTGTGCTAAAACAGTGTTGATGGTTTTGGCTGTTGCTGAACAGTGATTGCACAGCTTTGGGACTTTGTCTTTTCAACCCCACTCTGCTCATCCACCACCCCAAAGCATAAGCTGGGGCTGAGGAAGAGGTTGGGAGGGGACACAGCTGGGACAGCTGACACAAACTGAACAGAGGGATATTCCATACTACATAGTGGTGCTCAGCAATAAAAACTGGAGTAGTGAGAGAAGGTGGGGAGGGGATGGTGGTAAAGCCTACGTATGACTTCAATGGAGGCTGTTGCTCACAGACTGGCTTGGCATTCTCTCTGCTTGTCAGATGTGGTGAATGATTGCTTTTGCACTGCTTATTTTGGGACATCTTTTTCTTCCTTTATTCATCTATTATAGTGTCTTTATCTCAGCCCACACGTTTTCGTGGTTTTGCTCTTCCAATTCTGCCCTCCATTCCATGAGGTGGGGCAGGGGGTGAGCAAGCATCTCTCTGGGTGCTTGGCTGCTGACTGGGGTCAAATCACCACACCTTACTAGACGTGAACAGCAGAACAGATAAGTGAATGACAGCTGGATTGGTCACATTAGTTTGTAATTCCTAACTGTTACAGTCCATTCATAGGCTGTATCTTTCTTAACTGGAATACCAGTGGAGTACGTGTGTGTGTGGATTTTCTTCACAGTTTGACATTGGTATCCCTTCAATGACAAAGTGCTGCAATCAACACGACAGATGCTATGACACTTGTGGCAATAAAAAAAATGATTGTGATGAGCAATTTCAGTCCTGCCTCTCAAAAATTTGCAGAAACGTGCAGAAAACACTTGGAATCTCAGAGAGTGTCCAGGGTAAGTGTGAAAAACGCTTTCTTTTTTTTTCCCCAGGTTTAACTGAGCTTAATTTGGCAAAGAATCTTTGTGCTGCGCAATAAGGCCACATTTTCATAAGCTGATGCTGTTACTGAAAGACGCCTTGTTCTGTCCCTGTGCTGTGCAGCCCAGACACTTGTACAGCACAGCAAGGACAAAGCATAGGAAAATGATCTGGGTTAAATCTAACCTTCAGTTAAGGTTAGTTTTAACTTTAGAGGGAAAAAAATGCTTCCCATTTAGAATTAAGAATATGGGCATACAACTTGATCCAAATGCACATATAATTCTTGCATGTACTGTAACATGGCTGAATCCTGACTGTTCTGCTGGGTGATTTCTAAACATCTACTACATATGATTGCTAGTAAACTGTAGGAAAATGTGGAATAATTTCCTTTTATGAAATAAGATTTTAGAACAATACACTGTCATAGTGGATGTAGTTAATGCTGTCCCTTAGTGAATAAATGTTAGGTTTCTTAGTAACAGACGATATGATACTCCTTCTGGTTGTTGGCCTGCATCCGATGGATATATGACAACTACTTTTTAACTTAGACATTGTCACTTTCACAGTATGTAGTCCCACTGAGAGCAGTAAGGCTTTAGAACAAGCCTGTGTTTGAACTGCTCAAATTCATTTAACTGCAAATAAGTCATTGCATTAGTCTTTAGTGTCAGAACTGGTGAATATTTGTTCAGTTCTGTTGAGCTGATGTTAAAGATA